AGGAGTTAGATTTGGCTCCTTAATAAACTATAGCAGTCCCCTGATCAGCTTACTCTTCCAAATGGGACTAGCTTCTTGAAATAAAGCCCGTTGTCTTTTTAATGTGAACACTATGTATAATGAATTGGATGCTCCTAACTCTAAATGGTCTTGCTAGCATTAATATTTTATCTAAAATAAAATACAGATTTACAAGGAGCCTTAATAACCATATATCAATAACTGATTTCTGTTATAGATAATCTACAGCTGTCATTTAGAAGAATAGTGAATTACGACAGAAGGTAGCTTTGAAAACTCTTAAGAAGTAGCCTAGTCCTGTAGGATATGGCTACACGTCCTCTTTCTTGCATTTCCCATAGCTCTACATACAGACTTTTTTGGGGGGACTTACTTTTGACACTTCTACAAAATAACATCATTATCTTGAATTTTCCCTCCTAGTAGAAAAAATAGAAACAAACACATCCCTTACAGTAGACCTTCATTGACTGATGCCTACCATGTGTAAAGCACTGTGCTAACAGTCATAGAGCAGTACAGTAATGTGTCCTTCATTTTACTAAGATTTTGAGGCCTAAACCTTTACTAATAATTAAAAAAATAATTTTAGTGTATATTTTATGAAATATATACATAATTCATATTTCTAGATATTTTAGATGGAAAATAACTGTTTGGCTTTAAAAGAAAGAATTGCCCCAAATGGAGTGATTTATGTAGTGTAGGAAAATTGCTCTCAATATTTTATTTCTTGAAGTAGATAGTGGTTAAATAGCCGCTCATTTTATAATTGTTAAACTGTTCATATCTATACGTTATATTCTTTTCTGGTGGCCCATTATAATTTACAGTGAAAAAGGAATGAGGGGAAAAGATTTTTCAAACCTGAAAATATCTTCTAGAGCAGTGCCTGAAATTCCATTGTGATCAGTTAATTATTTTAGTTAATATTTGACTTCTCCTTTGCTTCTTTACAATGGAACTATTCTCTGGCCAGTAAGACATGAGAATGCAAGCCTTTTAGTGTGATGGGTTTGTCAGATCACCTCTTCTCCATAGCGCAGGTATCTGAGCTAATGTACAAGGGACGGTTCTGAAAGGTGCTAGGATGGTGTGGGGGGAAAGAGGCTTGGAAAGGAAAACAGTAGTGTACATCAGCATCATGGAGAGTGAGGAAACCTCAATAATGGGGCGCCTGGGTGGCTCAGTCAGTTGTGTCTGACTTTGGCTCAGGTCATGACCCCGGGGTCCTGAGATTGAGCCCCATGTTGGATTCCCTGCTCAGTGGGGAGTCTGCTTCTCCCTCTCCCTCTGCCCTTCACCCCACTTATACTCTCTCTCACACAAATAAATAAATAAAACCTTTAAAAAAAATAAAAAGGAAACCTCAATAATGCATATCCTCTCTCTCTCACTTTGGCAGATTTCAGTAACCAACACAACCTAGCTTGACAGAATTGCTTACCTTTCTTCTCAAATGGTAGTGTGATAACATCTCACTAATTTTACCTAATTAGTTAAAATACGGTGTTTTAAAAGTATAGTTACTACTTTTAAGTGCACCTTTAGCAACATAAAGAAAGCTAATAAATATTGCCTAATTAGGGCTTTTTCAGCACCCTACATCCACGAATAGAAAAGCCTAAGTTATAGTTAGCAAATGAGTGTTATATAAGGGTATTCTTTAGAAGTGCTCCCAGGAAGTTCATGCTTGTAAGTAGCTTTTCCCCCTGTAGTCTCTTTTCCTCATAACGTTTTTAAACCCCAGGCTTGTCCAGCTCACGTAGTTATACAGAAGAGGAATACATATAAATAGATTTTTAGTTAGTAGTCCACTGTTTTGAATATAAAAGAACCGTGAATTAGATTGTATTATTGCCAGTACCTTATTTATTTATGCTGTGTATATGAGAGTTATATGACTGTTAATAAAATAGTCTTGACAGTCAAACAATTTATTTTTGAAGAAGCCTGGCTGAACTGTTTCTGAGTGTTTGAGAGACAACGTGTTGTTTCTGAGTGTTTGAGAGACAGCGTGTATGTGGGGTTTTTTCCTGAAATTCTTTTGGAAAAACATCCATCTTGTTTCATCTCAAAGATAGTAGGAAGGGAAAAATGAAGGGGGGGATATCGGAGGGGGAGACGAACCATGAGAGACTATGGACTCTGAGAAACAAACTGAGGGTTCTAAAGGTGGGGGATGGGTTGGTCTGGTGGTGGGTGTTGAGGAGGGCACGTTCTGCATGGAGCACTGGGTGTTGTGCACGAACATTGAATCACAGTCCTGTACCTCTGAAACAAATAATA